GGAATGTATTTGCAGGCTTACATTGGAGAAAACTTCAAGGTTTGGGGCTCTTCAGCCACTGGGACAGTCCCTCCTGAGCAGCTGAGAAGGCCTAGCCAGGAGGGGAGACAGGTTGGGTTTTGAGACCCATGAGCAGGTGCCTCATGATGGATGCCAGAGCCATGAAGTGCATCTTGGCTCTCTGGCTACTAATACCTGTTGATTCTTTCACCTGGGAGAAACTAGATGATCATCCGTATTATAAGACATATGGCAGGTGCATGGCTTCCACTCTTCTTTAACTCTTTCGTGAGCCTGTCGAGAGGGTTTCCCAGGGTACACGTACTGTTATTAACTGTGAGGTTAAACATACCACAGTGCCCAAGGAGCAGCTGGAGGCTCCCTTGTACTGGCCACTCAATGAAGCAGAAGACAGTCCTTGCCCCAAACAGCTGATACTCAAATTGTTCCTCAGCCCCTTCCCGGTAGCTAATTTAGTACCTGTATCTGCTGCCAACTTTGCAGAATCTCGAGCAAATTTCCAACCTCGAGTACCTAACTCTGGAGCCTGGCGCTTCCACTTCCAAACTGGCAACTGCATATAGCAGTCCAAGCCCACGCTCAGCAAGGCCCTCGCTTGCACGCGGGCTTCTGCTGTGTCTCTTTCTGCCTCTGATCCCAGCCAGCGTAAGAGATATGCCTTGATGCAGTTTGGCAGTCTCAGTTGGAATGAACATCTCCAAATTGGAACAAGTCTGGGGCAGAGTCGGGAGTCGATCCCAAACCTAACGCCCTGCAGCCTTTACCCACCAAACAGTGCTCCCTCACATACGATGCAATGAGCACGTCCTAGGGAAGAGCTGCTTTACTTCACATGCACTGTGCAGCCTGTGGAAGAAGACGATGTCTCTGGGACAGTAAAAATTAAACGTTTGCTCTATTCTGTTTGCCTGGGGACAGACCTTGCATTTCTAAGTTTCTGTAGTGCCGTGTCTAGATGCCACCAGCGTTCAGGCTTCCTGCCGTCTCAGAATGAGCCTGCCCTCTTGCTCTTTCCACCTCCACGCCCAGCCTAGCCTCTCTTTACTTAGCCTAAAGCACGAGATGGAGCGCTCTGTGGACACTGTGATAAGCTTCAGCCTGTGCCTGTGGGAAAGGCTTGTGCAATACAAGGGCTGAGCAATCCCATGTGACTTAGTCTCACCTGTGGACAGCAGACTGTGTAATGCATGGGGCTAGTCCATTAAGAGGCAAAGCTGGAGGCATTTATCCTATCGGTGGGTTATGGCCTTCTTGTAGTCAGCTTGCCGTGGTACAGCACGAGATAAAGCTCCCTCGGCTAGGTCTGCGTGACCATAGCTGTAGCTACGGCTGCCACGCAGGTGTTGTATCACTGGAGAAAGATGAGAGCTACCATGAAGGCAAGTGCTTTAGAGGCCTAATGTGAGGGCAAGCGCACGCACATGTTGTATAGCCCATTTCCCTGCAAAGGATTCCCGGGCCAGTTCTGCAGTCTGCTCTGTGCCAGCTGAAAGGCAGCGTTACAGAGCTGTAGCAGTGCAGTATGGGGAGCTTGTCTCATGTAGGGGGTCAGGACTTGCTCACACATACACACCCCTGCACACACACATTTTGCTGCCTGCCTGATCCTTCCCAGAGTTTCAACCGCGGTGGGGTGATTTCTCCCTCTCGTGGCTGCTGCAAGACAACAACCTGCAAGCTGCAGCCAGGATTGGTTGCCCCCGCACCCCTCCTGCCCCCTTCGTCCTGCCTTCTGCATGACTTCAGATTAACAGGATAACCACTCTTTTCAAGCTCAGCTGAGGAAGTCTCAACCTTTGGTGCCGAAGTCCCTGGGTTCCCATGCCACTCATGACATGGGATGAATATTGCTTAGACCGTGCGGATCTGACCTAGCAAAAGGAGGGCTCTGGTGAGGCACTGGAAGGCAAGGCCTTCTAAGAGTGTCGATACCTTGGGGAGGGGGAACAGCGATAGGATCTGCCAAACCCAAACTGACTGGAGTAGAAGATGGGAAGTCTATCTCCATTGTATTTACTGGGCTCTCTCTCTCTTTTTCTCAGGTACGACGCGGGGAAAGACGGTTTCATTGACCTGATGGAACTGAAGCTCATGATGGAAAAACTCGGCGCCCCCCAGACGCACCTTGGGCTGAAGAACATGATTAAAGAGGTCGACGAAGACTTGGACAGCAAACTCAGCTTCCGGGAGGTAACTGGCTTTACCTGTGTGCCCTGTCTACTGATGGCACCGTGCTCTTGCCTGGGGTAGGGGTGCGACCCCCTTCCACCGCCTCACCTACAGAATCCTCCTCGTCCCCTACCAGCCTTGCTGTTGTCTTTCACGTCCTCTCTCTTTACTTGCCCCGTGACATGAGTCTCCGCTCTGCAGCTCGTCTGTGATCATACAGAAATGTTCAAATGGCTCTGCCGAAAGGGCCTGTCCCTAGTCTGACATCCCAGCCTCGGTCAGACTAAAGCTGGTGGGTTAAGGAGGAATGTAGTTGTCCAGCTCCAAAGCAGAGTGGTTCTACTTAGTTTAGGATTGGCAGGCTTGCGAGAGTGCTGCAATTTGGGTCTGCAGTCCCACAGTCCTCTGGAGCGCTCCAGCACTGCTTGTGCATTGTTGCTGATGTAGAGCACTTATGGACCTATTATGTTAAAAGCCCTCCTACATCACAGGAGGTTGCCGGCAGGTTGTGCCTTCCTCCAAGGCCCTTGCAGCATGATCCAGGTGCCTAACATGCTCCCTGCATGGGGAAAGGCTGTTCTGAGTGAGGCACTCGCTTCCCTGAGCAGCATTAGTGCCCAAGCACGCTGCTCTTTGAGCTGCTTTAGGAGGTCTCTGCAGATCCGATAATCCCCCTGCTCAAAGAAGAGAAGTAAGACCACCTGGCTTTAGTTTGCCTGTCAGGTAATGGGGATCACCACAACTCAGGCAGCGTTTAGGGCTGCCTTATCTCACAGGGCAGGTGCCCATACACAAGGCTGAGCTTGCTGGCCTTTGTGCTCACTCACTCTCTCGCTGCAATTATATCAGCACTTGCCTCTAAAATACTAATGTGCAGATGTGCAACAGACACACAATGACACTTGGTATCATGAATATTCATGGTGTTTGGGCCTAGAGTAGCTAAATATCATTATGCTGCCCAGTGGCCCCATTATCAGTGCCTGAACTGCCAGGTTTCCTGTGCTACTCTGCAGTCTTTTAACTGGTTCTCTTGTGCCTTAAACAACTGACCCGAAAGCTGCACATGAGGCTAGGTCCGACAGCCAAGAAGGTGGGTGAACACCGAGGAATCCTCTTCTACCCTTAGCTCTGCCACGCAACAGCTGGGATGCCTTGCCCAAGACATTTGACTCTGTGCCCCCTTTTCTCTGGTTAAAATGTTTGCTGTTCAAGGCAGGGACTCTTCCTACACCACATCTGCCCCACACCTGGCCCAGTGATGTCCTGATGTAGGTTAATAACAAACAGGGAAGTGAGTCTGCCTTCAGGGAAACTCTACGTGGCCAAGTGAACCCCACAATGAGTTTGTGCTTTTCCCTCTGTACAGTTTCTTCTGATTTTCCGCAAAGCCGCCGCAGGTGAACTGCAGGAGGACAGCGGTCTGCATGCCTTGGCGCGGCTCTCGGAGATAGATGTCTCCACTGAGGGTGTGAAAGGAGCCAAAAGCTTTTTCGAGGCCAAAGTAAGATTGTAACGCATCATTTCCTTGCAACTTGGGAAAATTCCATGCGGGGACTGGGTTTTTATTTTTAAATGACGGGGAGTTAAGACACGTGGATGATTTTTATTGGCTTATTGGGGTGAAGGAAGGGCAGCAAGTTGCATGCCAAGCCTAGCTCCTGACCAGGCTGAACAGCTGTTCAAGCTCCTTTATATAACCCATGCGCTTCACTCTAATAGGGGTTTTTACAAAGCCACTTGGAAGCCAACCCTCCCCACTGACACGCGTGCATGTGCTGCCTGTCCAAGCCAATGGCAGCTGCCAGCGTAGGAGGCTCGAACTTGGCCCGTGGCCTGCAGAGCTGCTGCACATAGCATTTGCTCTTCCTGGGTTGCTTCATTTGAATTTGTTATGCTGGTGAATCGCAGCTGGAAGGGGGAAGGTGCCACTGTCTGGAGCGTGCTGCTGATTTGCATGTGATAAGCCTAGACTGTCATTCGTGCATCAGCACCGCATGCTGTATTGGCAAAGTGACAGCTAGAAGCCTCAGTGTTAGGGTCTCATCCAGAGCCCAATACACTCAGTAATGAGATCCCTTTCAGTTTTAATGAGCTTTGGACTGGGCCCTTAAAAAAGTCACTCGGTGGGGTTGCGTCTTCTGATTTCACATGTGATTGGATTCCCAGGTCCAAGCGATCAACGATGCCAGCCGCTTCGAAGAGGAGATCAAAGCTGAACAAGAGGAGAAGAAAAAGCAGGCGGAGGAGATGAAACAGAGAAAAGCGGCCTTCAAAGAATTGCAGTCCACATTCAAGCAATGATCTCGCAGGCGGGGATCTCGCTGGAAAGGACCTCCCAGCACAGAGTCCCAGGGAGACACCGAGCAAAGCGCTATGTGGCAGATGTCCACAATGAGTTGTGTAAGCGTCGATGGTTGAAGGGACCAATTGATAAACAGCAGTGTGTGAATCCGGAGTGGCTGGGCCCCTTCAGGTGCAGGCTGCTGACGGGTTTAATTACCGCACTGCTTCCTTGCACTGTAAATACTGCAAGTGGAGACTCTGGTGCTCCCACTTCCCTGCATTGCCATTGGTCTTTATCCTGTGTTATCTGTGATGACGTGTGTCCGCAAACTGGTGTGTGTGTGTGTATACAAGGGTGGTGGTGGTGGGGAACTGCTTGAAGCCAAATGCTTGAAATGTGCTCTGTACTCTGGTGTGTGCTCTCTTGGGACAAACACTGCATAACCCGAATGGTATAAGCACCCAGCCTTGGATGTACCGGACCCTGGACTAGCAGCTGCTGCCCATGCAGAAACACTGCCTGCCGCTTTAATGTACGCCATCTCCTGGAATCAGACATTCTGCACTTAATGCTTTAAATCAGTCGCTTTAAAGGCCCGTAGCTGATACCTTTGGGTGGGAAGCACTGAGCGGAGGTAGAGCAGCCTCGTGGACTGAGCGGAGGGTGTTGGAGGAAAGGGAGCTCAGCGTTCTCATCCTGCCTCTGGCACCAATTCACTGTGTGGCCTTGGGTAAGGCACTTTAAACTGTCTTGGGCTTTCTGCCCCTATGGGGGAGGTAGGATCCTACTCTTGTTCCTATGGAGTTGAAGAGAAAATGGGTTTGGATTCGGTTAGATGCTTGGCACCTCACCTGCTGGTCTGTGCGAGCTCAGAGCTCGAGCCTGCAAGATGCAGAGAGCTCCCTGAGCTGCCGGGGGCTCCACAGGCAGTCAGCACACTGGAGGCCAGAGCCCCAAGCACCGTGTCTCGCTATAGAGAAACATCAGCGTGAAGCAGAAGGCAGAGCAAGGCAGCACCTCCAAGACTGGTTCAGAGGTTTTGTAGACAACAACCTACTTTGTCAGATGCTGCTTATCATCGATGTCGCCTACAGAAGCTGTGGACCAGAGATCCCCTTAGATGCTGCCTTGCCCTACCTTCTGCCTGACTTCAGCCTAACACAGCTGACCACATCCCTCCAGTGTGAGGATGGGAGATGGCCTAGCTGTGTAGATGGGGACATGTTCTTAGATCGGTCCCATCCTTTTGGTCCCATCTTTTATTTAAAATAGAGGATCTGTATTGGCTCCAAGTTGGGGCACTAGAGGTAGGTGCAATTGAGATAGGTGAAGCCAAGGGAACCAATGGGCCTATGTGTTCATGACCCTAGAGATCAGTCAGGACTCCAAAGACACCCCAGATGCATCCCCCACTTCAACGGCCCTGAATTCCTACTGTTTAGGGATGGGTTCATTATCCTACTAGTTGTGGGCTGAACAATGCAGTCAGCGATAGCACAATCCCGTGTCTGCAACATGCCCTGATGTCCCATTCCCTGAACTGGGAAATCAGAATGAACTGCACTGAGAGAAGAAGTACAGGGACAGACAGGATGGCACGTGTTCAGCCCTAGAAAATACAGGGACGCACAAGTGCAGTAAGACATGCAACTTGCCCAACGCAGCTACGGCTCTTTAAAACCCAACACCAATATTCAGGCTGGAAACTATGTCCCCCGCTCCACCCCAAAGTGCTTTTAATTTTTCTTTTCCTTTTGCATGCACTGTGATTTTGAAAAGACAGGGTCACACCCTAATCATTTGGTTCAGTTCTTCTAGGTTTTGTAATGAAAACATAAAGCATAGCCAGGTATTGAACTGCACTTATGACTTGTCCAGCTGGAAAACAGGGGAACCACATTTGCATCAAGTGATGTTTGTGATGGAAGCCAATAAACCTGTGTGAAGCTTGTGTGTACACATGGCAAGCCCTAGCCACTGTTAAAATTCAGATGAGGAAGTGGACTGTGATACCAGACTTCGTGTACTTTGCTATTTGCAAAAAGATCTTTACCACTGTTATGCAAAACCAACCAATTTCATATCCTCATGAAAAGATTAATGCTTGATTGCTTTTAGACTAACCCTTTATTTTGGTAAAAAAACTAAGAAATCCCATTGGTGGATTTAGAAGTGTTATTATTTTTCATATTATAATCTGCAAAAAAAAAAAAAGAAATCATTATATTAAATAGTTTCTGCCATTCTTCTACAGATTTTCTTTAGGAAAGGTTTATACAAGTGAATTCAATAATTTTTTGGGGGGTTTCAGAAGCTTTTTCCATTCACTGGTACATTTTTTTTTCTTAACTAAAATAAAAATTATATTTCCTATGTGTGCCGTGTGGCTGAATTAAGAATTTTGAATTAAGTGGGATGAAGCATATATCTGTGTCTTGAAATGTGAAGGTGTCTCCACCCACTATACGAGATGCTGCCCTTACACAGTATATTTGGCTGCAACTTGGCAGATAAAATAGATGAGAGTCTCAGTGCTATATAGTGAAGAAGCAGATGTGGACGACCTGACACCATCAGAAGCCCCCGTGTTAGCGATACAGGAAGGCCTGGCAAAGACTGTGTCACCAAGACGTGCACCATCCTGCCACAAAGGAGCAGATCTGCAGTCAGCAGCTCATGCCCAACTCTTTTCCCTCTCTTTGCTCAAACCACTGGCTTCCAAGCTGGGGTTTTTCTAGAGTCAAAGCAGTAGGCGCCTCTTCTCCCTTAAGGAGGAAACACAGCACTGTCACCAGCTGCTGATCAGCTGGGGCCTCCACCCGTGGTCCCCACAGTCCAAGCTGGGAAGTGGAGAGGAGAAGCAGGGTTAGACTCTCCCCTTGGTTACATCCTGAACCCAAGGGGTGGGAAAAACATTGAAAAGCAGCCACTCGGGGGAACAAGGTAGGTAGCAATCCTGTAGACCGGTCCTTACCACAGCTGTCCTCGCCCCCAGCTCCTACATGCACCCCTGCAGCCCCCTATTAAGGAAAAGGCTCTGTGTGGCGATGGATAGTTACATTGCAACAGGCATTTTTCAGGCTCGAAGCCCTGACAAAGACCAGACAGCGACACCCACTAAGGAACAGCCCTGGGGAGAGTGGGGGGAAAAAGGACGGGCACAAATGAGAGCAGTAAGATGCAGTTTTTGGAGAATTAATGAAATGAGCAAGTTGCCTAGAAAAGAGATCCCCTGCCCAAAGCCTTTTAGGGATTTTCAAGGAGATCCAACAGGATTCACTACACGACACCGAATGCAAGCTAATGAGAACTGGGGCTGTACCTTGCGCAGGAGAAGGAAGAACGGAGGTGGAGGGGAAGTGAAAGCAAAGCAGGGAGCTGTGGGGTAGGAAGCAGAAGGGGGAGGAGAGTGCTGAAGTGAGCGTGACAGTCTTGCCCTGTTGCTCCTCGGTCACAGCGTCCACCTCCATCCTGGGCAAGTGCAGACACTGGTCAGGGTAGCTGCATGGTAACCTGAGGCAGCTCCCCTGCTATTCATCTGCTTCCTTAAGCTCATGCCAAGAAGTGATGGTCTCGCACACATGCACACCCCCACCATTGCTCAGTCCTGCCAGTCCAAAGACTTCTGCAGACTGAAAGTTATGCCTGTTAGTTTTATGGAAAGCTGAAGACTGTATTATGATTGATAATCTACCCCATCCTTCCCTGTGACAGCACCCAGAGATCATCTCCTCATCCTTCCTGTGCTAAGCCCATAACATCTGCTTGTGCCAGAGTGCAGCTGCACTGTGACAGCCGTAGCACTGACTTCTGCAAACATCCCAGGGATGATTTGTAGGTCAGATGTGATAGGAAAGAGAGACCCCCCTGGGCTTTAATGCCAATCAGTTTGCAAGCAACACTTGCACACTTATATACATGAGGAAGATCAATAAGAGTCAGCTGCATCTTGGGCAAACAGTGTGGATCTTGGTGGCAGGGAGGCTCTGGGAAACCTGAGCACCCGGCTACACCATTTCCAGGACATGGCTGAAAAATGGGTCCATAACTAAGGACTTGTTTGGCCTTCTGTGCAACACCTGTTAGCACGTAGCTTTGCTCCCAAGTGCCAGAGAGACGTGCTCCTGACTCCTCCATTGTTGTGGGAGCTTGGTCGAGTTCACTACAAGGCGGATGGGGGAAAACAGTCCTCACAGCAGGCTGAGTTCAAGACTGGATCATCTTAAGCTGATCTCTCTACGCAGTCTTTTGCAGTGTCTACCATGTGAAAGGAACTAAATCCAATACGGGAGGGGATGCGCTGGTACCCAAGTCCATGACAGCAAACCTGAAAGCCCCTCCTTAGCTGACGCTCCACAGGAGCTTCTGTTTTTGTGTCAAAGTTCCCATGTGGGCTTGATGGGACTCAGCAATTTGGCACCTATCACACGCCTACGCCTGCTCAGGATCCAGACACAAGCTACTCCTCTCCCAGTCATCGCTAAGATGCAATAGCTGGTAGGTGTTTCTCTAAGATGCACTGACAGCTGGGCATGAGGAGGGGCAGCAGCACCTCCATCTTCTTTTTCACTTGCTTTGGGTGCCTTCTTGCAGGAGAAGGTTCATGGCCATGAATCTAAAGTGAAGGGAGGCACCTTCCCCCAGTGTGAAATTAGGTGGCTTACTGCCTTTGAGACAGGGCATAGGACCTCTCCTCTCCTTGGTCTTGCTACCAGCAAGCTTGGGGCAGGTCCCCATTCAGTGTGCTGGTCTCGTAGGTCCTTAACTCTCCCTAGGCATCATATAAAAAGCCCAAGCACCTCACTTCAGCATGAGGCCTCCCCAGAATGGGGGGGTCCTTATGCATCTGAGGTTGCAAGACTGACCCTTCACCCTGGCCTGCTTTGTAGATCTAGCCCTAAATGGCCAACACCACTCCTTAGCCACAGAGCTACCACATGCATGAGGAAAGTGGTGGCAAGCAGCTGGAACTGGCCCTGGTTGTACATTCAAACCATGACTCTAAACTGACCCCAGCGACAGCTGTGTTTGAGCTACTTCCAGCATAGGCACAGTGCACAGAATGGGGCCCAGGTCTTGAAACGCCAGCCCAGCTCTCCATCCCCCAGATGTCAAATCAGATGCTTCAATCCATTACAAAAAGCCAGGCTGTTTCCAAACTTGAGCTACATGACAACCTTATAAAAGCATTAGAAAGGTCAAGCAGTTTAAAAGCAGAAAAGCTACAGCCACATCACTCTAGTGACATTTAGAGCAGAGGACACTGAAATAGCAATAAGTTCCCTTTACACTTCCATTTTAAGAAGACAAAGCAGGTTCTCCCACCCTTGTTCATGCTGAAGACAACCTCGCCTCCCTGATGTCCCTTTGCAGCCTGTGGTATTCAATGCTACAGCGCTGGTAAGAGTAACAGAGCCCAGGCTCCAGGTACCGCACTGCCTTTGTGAACAGACTCCAAGCACCGATCCTGTCAGGTATCAAAAGCCAGGTGCCGTCCACACAGAAACATCACATTTACTGTTAAGACTATGGTAATGGGTGACCTGGTAACCATGAAACGCCAACCTTCCCCAGGAAGATAATGAGCTTCAGGAATAAATCCTCTTTTGCATAATTACAATACCTTGCTCTTTTATCAGCATCAGTTAGGCTTAACCTGCTCTTGGTAACAGGGTTCGCATTTCATTCTTCACACACATGGACAAGCTGATGCACAGAGAAGCTTATATATACTAACCTTATCAGACACTCAAATATGGTACAAGCCTCCACCGAGAAGGGCTTAGTGAGCAACTCTGGTTTGTCTTTGATGGCATGAGGACCTCTATACGGCACAAAGGCATTGCCTGGTTCATCCATGCGTGTTCACAGCATAGGGTAATCGCTCCCCCAGAACGACTGTGGTTTTTGACTCTGTGTTGACCACAAGAGACCATATTCTGGCCTCTGTAAGAGCACAAACATACCAGACTCAATGGAAATCAATGGCTCTCAGAGTCTTATACTACCAAAAGAAAAAAAATCCACTGAAAAGGCAAACAACTGTGCACTGCCCTTTAGCTCGGCACAACGAACAGCTGGAACCTGGCTTCAACCAGCAGAAAGCCAGGAAAGACTCACCTCCTGTAGCAAAACCCCAAATACAGGAGGCCCAGTAGTCAGCATCAGCAGTGGCTCTCCAACTGCGGTCTGTTCACATGGCTCTAAATAACCATACAACAAACATTTGATACATATAAAGCATATAACCAAGTCAAGGCCGGTGGGGCAGGGGGAATATTTGGCACAGTCATACACACAAAAGGGTGGACCCAGGCAGTGGTAACTAGCAGGAGCAAGAGCTTTACAATGATATAGTGTTAGATTTGGCTCAGGAAAGCTGTCACTGGAGTAGAGACAGACTGCAGGGGACCAAAGGACAAGGCAGGGGGGCACTAAAATGTAAGCAGTGGAGCCGGGGGCTGTAGCTGGAGAGGAACGTGGGTCCGGAGGAGCAGAGCGGGCAATACAGGGCATAGCAGCATGGTTGCATGTTGGAGGAAAGGTGGGGGTGAGGTGGGCAGAGGGGCCAAGAAAGGAACAGCAGGGAGAAAAGTCAGAGGCGATGGGTCCAGGTGAGGGGTCAGGAATCAGACACAGGAGCGCCATACCCAGGGCCCAAGCCCAGGGTGGACAAGAGCAGGTGACAGGTGCGATGGGAGTGTCTTGGGCTTAGCTTCACCTTGGAGCTCTGGGATAAGCAAGCAGCAGACGGCCCCTCCCGGGAACCTTTGCAGCCTGGGCCCAAGCCCCATCTAATCACCAGGTTTGCCGTTCCCAGGCTCGCTGGCCACGTCCCAGCTGCAGGGATCACTTAACCCTTCACCTGCCCAAGGGCTGGGGATGCACGTTATTTGAAACAGTAACGTGCAGGTCTTGCCTGGGCAGTGCAAGCCTTCGAGGGGCCACAGTACGGATCTGTGCTGAGACTGCTTGGATTATACATCCCTCTTGCCTTTGAGGAGCAACATCTCCCCCCTCCTTCAAAGTCCACTGCTGGCCCCATTACAGTAGTGCATGGATATCCATTATCCCTCCAGGACTATACCTTGTCCGGCTCTAGGTCATCATCCAAGAAGCATTTCTAGTTCCTTGAACACGCCCAGTGTGTCACCCTGCCCCTGGGCTATGGTCGGAGGCGCATGTACGGCGTCACTGCTGTGTGAATTGGAGCATGCTGAGCAATCTGGAAGGGGGCAGCCCAGCCCTTTGCCTCCAGGGAGGAGCAATGCTCTAGCTCATCGATTTTCCACAGCAAAGGCATGTCTCTTTTCTCAAAAAACACCCAG